CTAAGTTTAAGAATTCTCATTTTTGAAATTCCTATTTAGTAATCATTAATTTATTCTGTAAGCATAATTAATTAAATTTTTTATCTCTTTTGTATTATTCATATTTTCCTTTAATACTTTTATAATGTTCAATAAATTTTTATGAAATAAAAAAAATTATCCTGAAAGAAGTCACTAACAATATTTTATAACCACAAATTTAAATGAGAAAATAAAATAAAAAATTTTAAACATCTATGAAATTGAATATTAAGAAGAATTAATAAAAATACATTGAAAGGACTATAATTAATATTTATATGACTGGAATTAATTATTTTAGTATAGAATATCATTTTTAATGTTAATTTTATTTATATATATATATATATATATATATGAATAATGTTCATTTTCAGCATAGGAAGGAGAAAAGAAAAATAAATTTTGAAGTATATAAAAAATAATTATTTTTTTGATATACTCCCTCCAGTTTTTATTATAGGATACTTTTAACTATTTTACACATCTTAAAAAAATTAATTTTTCCTTGATATTATAAAAAAAGTAATATGTGCTTTTATTTTTACCCTTGACTTTAAATAATAATGCAACTATATTAAATATCTTCACCTTAATTAAGAAGGGGTGAAATTGAAAAAAATTAATTTAATTATTACAAGGTATCCTATATTTTAATTCAAAAATTATTTTTAGGAGGTGTCTTATAAATATGACTAAAAGGAATCTAGCCTATAACATAAAATTACATAAATAAAATAATATTTAATTTATTATAAATAGAATAAAGTATTAATGTGTGTGTGTGGTGTAATATGGGAAAAAACATAATTAGATTTAATTTAGGATATTAGAATTATCCAATAGGAATATTTAAATAAGGATATTAATCCATTAGATTAGCTTTAATTATTTATTTTATTGTTATCTTAGATATCAATATCTTTAATATTTGATTTAGATTTAGGATTTGAGATATGAATTTAAATTATTATTATTTTATTATTTTTAGATCTATACAATAAAGTTAGGTTTTTTATTTCTATTCAACTTTTAAGTATTATTGAATAAGAATTTTTGAAACTTTCGGCTTTCTCCCTTCTCCTTTCTCTTTATCTCTTTTCTCTATCACTTCTTCCTGTTTTACATCAATATGACATATTTATAAGATTTTAAATTTTAAATTTGTTCCATATTAAATAAATTTGATAAAAAATAAATTTTAAATACAAAAATTCATATAAATATATTTACATTAAATATTTAATTTAAAATTTTTTATTTAAAAATTTATTAGTATTAATTAAAAATTAAAAAACTGTTCAAAATCACAATTACAAAAATTTATATGGATAAAATTATTTTTTACATTAAGTAGTTAAAAAATTTTAAATAGAATTTATTTGTAAGAAAAGAATGGAAATATTTAATCATTTTGGGAGAAGATAAAAATTTAATCATTTATATATTAATTTTTGAAAATAATATGGAAAAGATAAAGGTAAAATATATTTAATAAACTAAATAATACATTTTTAAATAAATTATATACTTACTATTGTCATTTAAAAAACAATATTTTTATATTAACAATTTGTTTCATTTTAAGTTCATTTTCCTAACAAAAATAACATTTTATTAAAAATATAATATAAGTAGTCATATAAATAATTTTATCATTTAAGTAATTGAAAATAAAATAAAATATATGTATGTCTTTTTGATAATATATTATTTTATATATGTGTATGTTGTTAAGTAATATTATTTAATTTATATATAATAACTGTATGTGTATTTGAGTTTAACTAACAAAAAATGAGGATTTAAGACTTAAAAAGTGAGAGGTTAATAGATTAAATCTTGGCATTGACATATTTTATAACAAATATGTGATGTGGCGATATAATGTGAGATGTGGCATTATTTGACCCCCCATAGGTAGGTGAGTTGGCATATGCAAATGTGCATGTGGTAATAGGAAGTGTCAAGTGATGTGACATTGACTAATTCACACATGGTAGGTGATGTAATACTAACATGGCAATGAAGACTTAAGGAATTTAGTTTTTATTTTTTAGAAATGGATTTAAAGACTATTTCATTTTGTCTCTATCATTTTATATAATTTTTGGAGTATTTATAGCAACAAATTTTTTATAAAAATTAGAGATGACATTTTTTATTTAGGTACAAAATAAATCTGTCTATAATCAATAATGACTTAAAAAATCTATCTTTAAGCATTTAGCAATGCTTTTTTTGAAATACTGCGATATTCGTTTCTAAATTCATTTCTACTTGTTTAGAGATAAATTTTTCAAATAGTTAGAGACAAATTATTGAATATCTCTAAACAATATTTTTTTTTGTAGTGACGTAAAATATTTTGTTTAAATGGGTTAAATTTTAATCGAAATTCCTGCTATCTTTATTATTGCTTAATCATGAAACTCGGTATACTATTTAAAAATTAAGGAGCATCAAACACGAAATATAATCAACATTATACTTTAAGAAAATGACAAATAACAAGTGATTTTATATAAGAAAAAAAAATCTAATTCGAAAGAATCTACTCCCACAAACTACTCCTAGTGTTTCCTAAAATATAAAAAAGTAGTTGCTCAAAACATTATGTTTAAAGAAGGTATCATTCAAGACAATAATGCTCCTTTTTTTAAGAAAAAAATTAGCACAAACATTTTTAAAATTTTATTAAAATTACACAGTTTTCTATTTCTAAAATAAAATAAATTACACTCATCTCTTTTGAACTTTGCTCACAATATTATTAGAAAAATTGTGATTCAAAGACAAATTCTAGGCTTGGCCTAGCTTCATATTTTTAATTTACAAAATAACTTTATAATTTTATATTTTCATTCTATTCCATGACAAAGAACCTACTGTAATCTTGTAATATTCATTATATATAGGGAAGATGTTCACAAAACAACGAAACCAATTAAATTCGCAGAAGATAAGGTCGGCTTGTATCGCCTTATAAAATTGTTTGAATGTAAAGCAATGGTTTGCATGGATGACCTCATCTAGTCGACTTCCAACAGGTAGTTAAAAAGAAAAAAGAAAAAAAAAGAATCCATTTTATTAATATTCAATAGGCAGTTGAATTACACAAGTTAATGGGATTGCGAAGGATGATTTAGACGTGAAATTAAAATATCTTAATTTTCTCAATAATAAAAATTAATGCTAATAGTTAAAAATTTATCTAATAATAAAATAAGTTCACACTACATTTGCTTAATAATTTTGACCTTTGCCATTCAAACTTCTTCTGAAACTAACAAAATCTTATTATATTTATTTATATTTTTTTTTCATATAGCTGACTCCACCTAATAGGATAAGGCTTATTGTTGTTGTATCTTATTTTCCCATGAAAATGCATTTTTCCTATTTTTATTTTTTTTACTTTTTATTTTCTTCTTATTAATTTTTTTTAATTGTTATGACCTCATCCTATCGATTTCCTAAGGACTGGTTAAAAAAAAAAATTTTTGTTCACAATGACCGGTAACAGTTATGGATTAATCTAATCAGTTTTGCTTACTTTCTTTTAACCTTTTCTATTCATCCTACATGCGAAATCAGCAGAGAAATAATAAAAAATCATTTCATTAAATGAATTTATTTTTATCATAAATTAAATAAGAGAAATGGAATGAAAACAATAATTAAAAAAATTTGGAAAAATTACAATTCCCGTTGGCGAGGGTAACGATTTAGGTGGGGGGGGGGTGTGTGTATTAAGTGATTCAAGATTCTCAATTTCCAATTTAAGATTGTCAATTATTTAGGATTTAAATTCTTTAAAATAGATATATGTAAATTTCAGTGAAATTTTTCTTTTTAAATTTTTATTATTTTTATAAAATATAAACTTTCTCTTTCTCTCTTTTTTACAAAAAAATTTGTCGAATTTAATTTCATAAAATTTAAATCCAACTAATTATGTAATAACTAAGAGTTTAGACTTTAGAGCAAGGCTGTGAAACTCACAAATTATAGTAAACTCATGATAATAATGTAAACTTGTATCGCAAACTCATATTGTAAATTTGTAAAAGTTTACCTTTATTAACAAATAACCATTAAAATATGACTATAATTGAATTTAAATATATTAAAAATATAAATAATTAAAATTAAACCCATCTACATTGATAAATTATCATATACAAGACAAAAATTTTAAAATAGGGAAACTTATTTTTGATATTTTTGTTTTTGATTAATAGTAGTTTTTGCATTTCAAGTTTTTTTTTTCTTTAAATTAGATCCTATAACTTTTATGATCAAAATTCTTCATAATAAATACTCAACTCACTCAACTAAAAAAATGACAAGATTTACAAGTTTAACTAAGTTTGCATTTAGTTTGAGTTTATGAATTAGTTGACATAATTTTACAAGTTAGAAACATAAAAAGGTAATCTCGAAGGTAAACTTACAAGTATAATCAAGTTTGTATTTAGTCTGAATTTATGAGTGAGTTGACATAATTTTATCAGTTAAAAACATGAAACATTAAACTCAAAGAGTCAATATAGAGTTTAACAACTATGCTTTAGAGTACGTAGAACATTTTGTCCAAAATGGGTTAAATATTAATCTAAGTTGCCGTTATTTTTTTTTTATTGCTTAATTTCCATGCCACATGAACCACGAAACTTAGTATGTTTAAAAACTAAGAAGCATCAAACACGAAATATAATCAACATTATACGTGAAGAAAATAACAAATAACAAGTGATTTTACGTACGAAGCAAATCCAATGAAAAGAATATACTCTCATAAACTACTCGTAGTGTTTCTGTCACACCCCAAAATAGGGGGTGACCGTCACAAGATGCGAATCACACATACATCTCGTAAGCCACAAATTCAAGATTTATTTCATTTAATTACAAAAAAATACTCAATTATTCACTGACGTTTTAATACTATTACTACTAATTATTTCAACATCTCGTAAAAATTTTAATAGAACCTTCTCTGTAAATAAGATCTACCAAAATTCTGTATCATAAAAATTTTCCTCAAACGTTATATCTATCAAGAACTCGGCTCTTTCAAGCCAGCAGACAAAATGTATAATAAACTAAGGATTTTAATTATAAGTTATGTGGAGCACCTAATCATATATCTCATGACATAATACATAAATTTCATATTTACATCAATAAGACATATTACAGAGCAAGCCTCCACTCCGAAAACATCCATCATTGGTAAGCAAGACGTACAGCGTCAATTATGCTATCTGAGACCAAAATAATTTTTCAGTGAATAACGTCCCAACAATAAATAATTTAACATGAATAAAATGAAAAGTTTGAAATAGTTGTGTAAGTTAAATAGACAAAATCTTTATAAAAATTTAATAAACTTCACAATAAAATGGCTCTGTAAATTTCAAATAAAACCTCAAATTATTGAACTATTATATCAAATGTTAATTTCACTTGATTTTAAGAAGTCTCATAACGGAAATAAATACTTATAAATAAATTACTCAATAAAAAACAATTGGATATCAAATCACCAAATAATCAGATTCATAACCATAGGAACTTATCAAAACAATTATCAAACGTGGACACACAGTCCACGAAGGTAAATAATCCAAACGCGGCTTGTGCCACGAAGACAAACGTGGACACACAATCCACGAGGGTAAGTAACCAAACGCAGCCAAAGCCACGAAACAAACGTGGACACCCAGTCCACGAGGGTAATACTAACCAAACGCGGTTCAAAGCCACGAAATCAAATGTGAGTACAATGCCCACGAATAACCATCCCTCCGTTCCACGTGCGTTGGCCATCGCACGGGACTAGCACCTCCTATAAACACCTTGCTAGTTAAGTGTACCATGGCGCGCGAAGGGCTAACAGAACTGCCGTTAGCAACCAGTGTTTCGTATAAAGTCTCTTTTTAAAACCATTTTCAAACATGCGAGAAAATCATCATTTTCAAGATACAGTTCTCATTCTCAAAATCAAACTCGCATGAATACTTTTGAGCATTAAAACATGCCACGATAAAATTTCATATCTGAAGTCCATGTTTGGCATTTATTGCATAACTCAGAATAACCCGGGTTGATAAAAAATAATCTCATCAATTTTTTTAAAAGTATTCATTATAAATAAACATACGCATACCATAACTCAATTATCTTTCAAAACTTCTTTATAATTTCCCAAAATAAGAATTTAAATGACAAAATATTCAATACTTAACATAATTGTCATTAAAATGATTTGCATAAATATAATATTTCAAAAACTAATTTTATGATAAAGCAGTTGGGACGCTATCCACTTACCTATAATATGCCCGAGCATCAAAATTCATTTCTTAGAACTTCAATCAACTCTTCCTTTATCTTAGCATCCTATTCAATATAAAGAAATATTTAATGGACTTACTTTAGTTAGATAAGTTATTTTCCAATATTGAAAACACTATAGTGAATTGACTTCAAATCATTATAATTTAATCAACCAAATCTTAATTTCTTCCATCCTTTTAATACTTTACATGCCTACTTCCCATCCAACAAATTGCTTATATCTTAATTTGTTTTCCCAACCATTCTTTAAATTATGTAACCAAACATTAATCAGGTTGCGTATAAACATATCTAAATACACACACACACCCCCACATTTACTCTCTCAAGTCATCGAACATCTTTCATGCATATCAAGATTAAATAATTAAACAATACTAAGGTTTGTAAGTATCAACCATTAGACTCTCAAGAGCTTAGCTAATCAATTCTTCCTCAAATCTCAAGTTAATGCATCAATAACCTATACCAAGTATGCTAAAAAATTTTTTTTTTAGTAAACATTCAGAAAAATACATATTCAAGTAGACTCCACCTAACAGACATTTCATCTAACAACTTGTAAACATCAAATCTTAATTTATAATTTCAAATTAATTTCTTATCAATTCTCATTCTAGTCAAATTCTCAATATCAATCAATCTAACAAAATTTAATTTAGATTAGAATCCAGACCCATATATATATATATCGTTATGAAGCTTTGGAAATCACTTTCTAGCTCCCACAACAGCACGAGCAACAGCAGTAGAATACTCTCAAAAAAGTTCTGTAATTTCAACATCAACTCACACTTCCTCTCACGCAAGTTCATCAAGGAAGAAAGCTGAAGAGTTCTCACCTTAGTTAGCCGACAGTGCACACACACAGAGGGAGGAAGAAAAATGAATCCACAACTGAACAGGGGAAGAAGAATATAGCAATATTTCTGCCTCAACCCACGAATTAATCCTTCCACAGCACCATATCAGCTCTTCCTTCACTTCCCAACCACAAACAAACAAAACAAAGGAGGAAGAAACCAAGAGGCTATCAACCGAATAGGAAGAGAAGATAAGATTTTTGTCTGAACCAAAAAGAAGGAAAACAGAGCATCACTCACGAGAAGAAAAACGAACTCAGCGCTGATTCAGATTGGCGATCAGTACACCCACTCCAGCGACCTGATTTCTTCCATCAGCCAACGACCCAGATGTGCACAGCAAGATAGAACAGCAGCACGAAAAAGAAAACGAACAGAGGCAGAGAGCATGAAGAAGGACTCGCTAATGGCAGCACCTACAGAGACACACTGACAGAAAAAGAACAAGAAGGACGTTTCCAACCGTCTACAGCCTCTAGAAACTCAGCCTTTTACGCATACCGACAACGTAGATACAGCAAGGAAAACAAAACAGAGATAAGAAGAATCATGGAGAACCTGGGCATTTTTGCAAGGCAGTGCTGAGCATCCACGATCGCCGGTGACACGGGGAGAACATTAGAGAAGGAAGGATGGGGAAGACCGATGGAGAAGACAGAGAAGCTCAAAATTTCTAGACCCAGAATTTCTCTCCCTCTCTCCCCTCGTGCTCTGTTCTTGACCGACCAGGGAAAGAAATTTAAAGGGATAAGGTTTATTAGGGAAAATTACAAGAAACCCTATAGATATTTTCTAAAATTACACAAGAGGTAAGGGCATTTTGGTAACTTCATTCGATGCCAACAAAAATGAAATTTCCTCTAATATAAGTAAGATTTGAACCTCCTACCTCCAAGTAACAAATTACCATAGTTCCCACTAAATCATTACTCCCTATTTATTATATATGTAAAACAATAAAATAAAATATCTATTGAAAGAAAAAAAATCATTTAATTTATCTTCTTTCTTTTTTTTCTTTTTTTTTTTGAAAAAAAATTTTAAGGTTATTACAGTTTCCTAGAAGACAAAAAAATAGTTGTTCAAAACATTATTTTTAAAGAAGATATCATTCAAGACAATAATGCTCCTTTCTTTATATATATATATATATATATATAATAGCACAGGCTTTAGTTCCTACATTGATGACGCGAGTTTTCTTCAAGTCCACAATGCAAAGGTTGTTACGCGAATGGAAAATATTATAGAAATTACCAAATAAAAAATAAGAAAACAATTGAAAATATTAATCTCGAGTCCCACTCAAATAATCTAAATAGGAAAAAAATCCCATGAAATTACAAAATTATTCTTAAATTACATGTCTTTTTGTTGGAGTTGTCAATTTATTAGAGGAAAAATTATATACTTAACCTTATACGTAAGGTTCTTATTTTCAACTAAATCAGAACATATGTGTCATTTGTATATTGTTTATTTTAAAATAAATTCTTGTCATTAATATTATCAATGCATTAAAATCTCCTTATTTTGATTTGATAGAATAAAAGTACATTAAACATATAAGGTTAAGTACATAATAAGTATTGCTCTTTATTAGAATGAATTGAAGTTGTCAATATAAATTTTAAATGCTCTTGAAGTTGATATCTTTGAATTTTTGTGAATTTATTTTTTTCTATTTTTTCTTATTATTTTATTTTTATAAAACATTAAATCTTCTCTTTTTCCTTTAACAAGATAAACTCCACATAAATTTACAAATCTCAACATCGGAGAATTTAGAAATGTCAATATATTGTTAGATATTTGTTGGTGGAGTTGTTTATTTGACGACTAAATAGTACTAATTAACAATTATCTGATAGTAATTGATAACTTCAATAAAAAAACATGAGTTTAGACTGATTTTATGATTTTATGAAACTTTTTTATATTTAGATTATTCCTGGAAAACGGAGATTAATTTTCCGAAAATAATTTAGATGTTAGAGTACGTAAAATATTTTGTTCAACATGGGTTAAATATTAGTCGAAATTCCTGCTATATTTATTATTGCTTAATTTATTCCTTGTAACATACCCAAAACAAGTCATATGAGAACATGAAAGTCAGTATACTATTAAAAATCAAGGAGCATCAAACACGAAATATAATCAACATTATACTTTAAGAAAATGACAAATAACAAGTGATTTTATATACGCATACGAAGCAAATCTAATTGGAAAGAATCTGAATCTACTCCCATAAACTACTCCAAGTGTTTCTTAAAATATAAAAAAGTAGTCGTGCAAAATATTATTTTTAAAAAAGTTATCATTCAAGATGATAATGCTCATTGGCAAAAAAAAAAAAAAAGGACAATAATGATCCTCTTTTTTTTTTGTAGTTTCTCGTGAATGGAAAATGTCATAGAAATTGAGAAAATAAGAAAATATTTTGAAAAAATAACTCTCAAATCACAAAATACATAAAAAAAATCCATAAAATACAGATGTATTTGATTGGGGCTACATAACGGCTCTTCTACGCCTCTCTAGAATTTTGTTGTTAATCTTATGTGTACTTGATTTCCCTTTTTGTTAATTATAAATACTCTAACAATTTAATAACATATAGTTTGCCAATAAAAAGCGATAACTAAAAAATACCAAGACTTAATATGTGGAGAGGAGTGGTTTCTTATCCTTGCAGTCATCGAATTTGCACCACTCCTTTAATTTCTGCTGTATATATTTTGGACTAAATGGATGAGTTACATGTACTATTTATAAGTTAGAAACACTTAATTGACACGGCAATGATTTTTTTATTTAAAAGATAAAAATATTTTTTTAAAAATACTTTTTAATTTATTTTTTATTCATGCTATTCTTTTTTAAATTAATTTATACTAAAAAATAAATATATGTAAAAAACTAAAAAAAAGGTTGAACTAAGAATGAAACATATGTGAGACAAACTTGCTTCAATTAACTAAGAAAGAAGGGGGGCGGGGACTCTGCAAGCATTTTTTTTTTTAAACCATAATATTCGAGTTGAAGAAAAAGTTGTTTTCATTGGTGAGAACATAAATGTTGAGTACTTATTATTTACGTCCGGTGCTTTCATTTTAATTAACATGACCTTTTCCTGCATTGACTTGTCATATTCATTATTTTCTTCGTGACTTCAAGTCTACAACGTAAATTAAGGTTTCATCGATGACTACAGGGTACCTTGTTGCCCATTCATAGGGAAAAATAAATTAATTAAGCAAATAAAGAGGAGCAATAATTATGCAGACATATTGTTGGAGAAAAAAATAACAAAGGGGGATCGCTTATATACATCATGGATTATGTCGTGAAGACAAACAATAAAAGGGAAGAATTAACCTGCACGTCATGATAATTTTTCTCAATTTTAAATGAGGTTTTTACAGTTTCTTTTATTTTAATCAAGTACTTGTAGTTTAATATATTAAATATGTAAATTTTTGAAAGTTAAAATTAATAAATTTTCCAAACAAATATCCTTTTAGAATTTATAGAAAATTTACTTGAATACTTTACCTGAAATCCAAAAAAGAAAATTTGATTTGATACACTGTTTAAATTTTTATTAATTGTTTATTAAAATTCTGTAAGTATTAAAATATTTAAAAGACAACTTAATTATATAAATTTTGAGTTATAAAAATTATGTAATTAATTCTAACATTGTATAATCATTTAATAAAAATATAAAAGTTCTTAGTTTTGCTTTTAAAGAAAAAATTCAAGGATTTTAATTTTTGGGGTTAAAAAATATAATTAATGAATCAATTAAAAGAAAATGAATTGCAAAGACCTAATGTAAAATTAACGAAAACTATAATAGCTCGCTGATATAGTTCAATATAAGATTTAAATCCTCTTGAAGTTTATATCTTTGAATTTTTGTGAAGTTTTCCTTTCCTGCTACTTTTATTTTTATTATTTTTATAAAGTTTTATATCTTCCCCTGCTTCTTTAAAAAGGTAAATTTCACATAAATTCACATATCTCAACTTTGAAAAATTTGGATCCGTCAATATATTGTTAGATATTTGTTGGTGGGCTACCAACAAATATCTAACAATATATTGACGGATTATCTAATAGTAATTGTCAATTGACAACAATTGTTAGATATTGTAATAATTAACAATTATCTAATAGTAATTGACAACTTCAATTAAAAAATCATGAATTTAGACTAATTTTGCGGTTTTATGAAACTTTTTTATATCTAGATTATTTCTGGGAAGATGAGATTAATTTTCCAAAATAATTTAGATGTTAGAGTACGTAAAATGTTTTGTTCGAAGTGGGTCAACTATCAATCGAAATTCCCGCTGTCTTTATTATTGCTTAATTTATTCCTTGTAACATGACCAAAACAATTCATATGACTATATGAGAGCATGAAAATCAGTATGCTATTTAATAATTAAGGAGCATCAAACACGAAATATAGCCAGCGTTATACTTTAAGAAAACGACAAATAACAAGTGATTTTATATAAGAAGCAAATCCAATTCGAGAGAATCTACTCCTAATGTTTCCTAAATTATAAAAAAGTAGTTGTTCGAAACATTATTTTAAAATGATATCATTCAAGACAGTAATGCTCACTGGCCTGAAAAAAAAAAAATGCATAGAATAATTCTCCATTTTTTCTCTTGTAATCAGCGTAGGCTTTGGTTCCTGCATTAACGTGTTCTTTTCTTCAATTCCATATGAAACTTTAGAGTAATTTGTAATTTCATGAAACTTTTCTATATTGAAACTACTTGTGTGAAATGTAAAAGAGATTTTTCTAAATTATATTTAGAAGTTAGATTACGTAAAATATTTTGTTCAAACTGGGTTAATATTAATCGAAGTTCCCGCTATCTTATTCTTGCTTGATTTCCTCGTAACATTGTCCGTGTTAAATCAAATGGTTAAAATGTTAAGTTGAAATAAAAGTAAGTTATATTTTCTGCGAAATTCAAGGAATTAAAATAAAATTTTGCGTATTTTTTCTGAACAATATACAAGAGTGTGTGTGTGTGTGTGTTTTTTTTTTTTTTTTTGTATCACTTTCATTCCCTCCGTGGCTCTGTGGAATGAATATGAGAGAATATACTCTTTATTTAAATATCAATTGGCATTCCTCGAGCCCTTCCACACGGCCAAAGAAACAGCATATTGTTGGTTGGTCAAGTCAAATTGCTTTGTCGTGCGCAAACCAGAGTTCCAATATCAGGTGATATGCCTCCTTGTAATGAGGATAACTAAACGTTATTTTCCAAAGAATATCAAAGACGACATGTTCTATATAAATATCACTCACTGGGGGACGATCCCTTCTCATCAAACCATATCGATCTTGACTGATCATGGATTCCTCATTCCCCTCTTTTGTTAAGGATATTTTACTGCCATGCTTTCTAATATTTGCAATCATGCTCCCCAAAGGCATGTGTGCTTTGAGAGCGCATTGTAATGAAAAAGACCACCACCTTCTCTTAAACTTCAAACACACTGTTACTGATCCATCTCACATCCTCTCTAGTTGGTCTCACGAGCAACATTGCTGTGAATGGGTTGGAGTTCAATGTGACAACACCACTGGTAGAGTCACAGAGCTTAGTCTCCCTTGTTCTCCTGAACTCTCTGCTAATACTTGTGAGTATGACAAA